AGTGATTGTTTAAAAATAAAACCTTATTTTAAAAAATAATACTCATTCTTACAACGTAAATGCAACATTATACAATCCAGATTATTTTTCTCTGAGTTAAAAATTTTTTTTCATACACTAACTGCTTATTTAAAATGAGCTGAAAAAACAAAATTCCTGAGTTTTTGGGGGGGACAACTTAATTGTTTTATGTTAAATTCATTTAGCTTGTAAAAACTAATAAGCTAACTTAATTCCTTCATTTTGCCCCAACGCAAATCGATTGTGTGCATCCCAGCTGTCTAAATCTCTGTGGCATTAGTTTGTATCGCTCCACAGTTTCCTGTTTCATTCGCGCAGGAATGCTCCCTAAAGCCGCTGGGATCCGTCGGCCCTCTGTAAGACCTGGAGTGTCTGAGATCTGGAGAGCAAAACAACAAGCTGCACAAAAGCTTTCTGTACTTCCCACGGACGATATACAGCGCCGGGTTGATGCAGCAGTGAGAAAAGGCCAGAATCCTGCAGACGATAAACGCAATATGCAGCTCGTAATGCTTGCAGGCATCAAAATCATAGATGGACATCAAGACCACGATGATATGATAGGGACCCCAGCATATGAAGAAAGCTACAACAATACACAGCACCAGTATCACGGTCCTGGATTTCTGCTTGGTCGACGTTGACATGAAGGTCATGAGGATTTTGGCGTAACAAAAAACGATGACAGCGAATGGCACGAAGAACAGCAGAATGAGCTGCGCGTAATATCCAAACGTTTCATCAGTTGTGCTGATGCTTTGGCATGAATAATTCTCTATGTGTATGTTTTGCACTTTTGCAGAGACCGAATCTCTTAAGCAAGCAATCAAGCTGATGATCCAGGCTCCGATGCAGGCGCCTTTTGCGCATTTAAGCCTTCGACTCCTTGTTAGCCAGTAGCTTCTCACCACCACCACAACAAATCGATCAAGGGTCATGGCGGTGAGAAGGATGAGACTTCCGTAGATGCCTACAAAATATGCCCCGGTCATGATTTTACACGCAACGTCACCGAAAACCCAGTGATGAAGGAACTCTGTGGACCAGAAAGGCAAGGTCAGGGTGAACACAAGATCGAAAAGCGCCAGGCAGAACATGAAGAGATTGGTGGCCCGCTTCAGATCTTCGTAGCAGGTTAATGCACCAATGAGGAAACCATTTCCGAGGATGCTAATGAAGAAGATGATGGCGTAGCAGATTCCGGTGGTCGTTTTATAGTCGTCAGCTTGACACATTGGAATTAATGGCTCATAGTAGTTGTAGTAATCTGGTGTAGTACTGTTCCCAACATAGTTGTTGGTGGTGACAGGATCCATCTGGGATGAGCATAAATCCATACAACACTCTGATTTCAAAATTGCTCATTTATAAAAAAAAGCCAGGCGGTGTGTTGCATACACAGTATGTTTTGAAAGAAAAGCATGAATTGCTTACCTCTGTGTTGTGTTGTGTTGTCTTGGTTGACTTGTTGTTTGACTGCACTGTAGTGACAATACATTTCTCACTTTAGTAATTCTGGTCATTTCCTTTTGCTAATGTGGCAGTTTCACAATGAATAAGTGAAGTGTGCATCAGTGTTGCAGCGTTTGTTTTCTGAGAAATTGCAGACCTTCTTATTTTGATTTGTAGACCTTTTATATTAAATTAGAAATTAGTTTTGCAGGTTTTAAATTTTGCACTCTTTTTCTTTAATGAATATTTGAAGAGTTCATTTATTTTATACCTTTTCATAATTTTTCTTTGTGTGTGTGTGTTTGTGTGTGTGCAAATTAACTCATTAATGCACAACAAAAGCATGATTTATGAAAAGTAATACATATAATAAATCTGGTAACACTTTACAATAAGGTTCATAAGCTAATGCATTTACTAACATGAACTAATCATGAACAACACATGTGCAGCATTTATTAATCATAATTGAACATTTACTAATGCATTATTAACATCCAAGTCCATGCTTGTTAACATTAGTTAATGCACCATGAGTTAACATGAACTAACAATGAACTACTGTATTTTCATGATCTAACGTTAACTAACATGAACATATACAGTAGTAAATGTCTTGTTCATTGTTTGTTCATGTTAGTAAATGCATTAATTAACATTAACTAATGAACATTGTAAAGTGCGACCATAAATCTTAACGTTTAATATGATTTTTTTACATATCTTTGGAGATGGATGCAACTGCACTAATAATGCATGTACAATCTATGTGTAAGTTAATCAAAATACTGAAGACAAGTATACAATGTCATACAATCGACATGAAGCGGTGTAAAAAGCATTGCTTCTTACTGGTTTCTTTTTATTTTGCATCTTTTTTCACACTTTAGTGATTCAGATCATCAAACAAATGAAAATCTTAGTCAGAGATAACACAAATAGATCTCCTTGTAGATCTCAAATATTTTCTTTCTCATTAGTTTTTTTTTTTTTTTATTTCTTTGGGTCTTAGCATGACGTCTTGCTTTTTTATATACCTGAAACTTGCCTACAGCACTTATTCATTGTTGCTCTTATAGTTGTGTAAATTGCTTCCTTGTCCTCATTTGTAAGTCGCTTTGGATAAAAGCGTCTGCTAAATGACTAAATGTAAATCTACTTTGTCAGGCAGGTTTTGTTAAGGTGATTTAAATAAAATAGAAAGCTGTTCTTCCTCTATAACATTTTTTTTAATGTCTTATTTTGTGTTGAACAGATGAAATAATTTCATAAAAGTTTATGTAATGTAATGTGTATTTATATAGCGCATTTATTGTTTATGGCCATGGACCCAAAGCGCATCACAATCATGAGGGGGGTCACCAGTGTGCAGCATCCACTTGGATGATGCGACGGCAGCCACAGGACAACAGCGCCAGTGCGCTCACCACACACCAGCTATTGGTGGAGTGGAGAGACAGTGATAGAACCAATTCAGTGTATAGGGATGATTGGGAGGCCATGATCGTAAGGGCCGATTGAGGGAATTTGGCCAGGACACCAGGGTTACACCCCTACTCTTTACAAGAAGTGTCATGGGATTTTTAATGACCACAGAGCGTCAGGACCTCGGTTTAAAGTCTCATCTAAAAGACGGCGCCCACTGACAGTGTAGTGTCCCCTTCACTTTTACTGGGGCATTAGGACTCACACAGACCACAGGTTGAGCGCCCCCTGCTGACCTCTCTATCACAACTTCCAACAACAACCTAGTTTTCCAATGTGGTCTCCCATCCAGATACTGGCCAGGCTCAGCACTGCTTAGCTTCAGTGAGTAACCAGTATTGGGCTGCAGGGTGACATGGCTGTGAGTTAAGATCCACATGAGTGCGAGTAAATGGTTAAGTAATTTTATATATTTTGGGATGAACTTTGCTTGGACAGTCGGCACACAACGACAATTTATTTAAAGTGCTGTTTCTAAAGTTAGAATAGGTTTCCTGAGCAAAGTTTCCAGCCATCTTTAGCTCTTACCTAGACGCTTTTGATCTTGTACAATATAAAAATCGAGACAGGAAATAACTAGAACTTATATCAGGCGACCACATTTCACAAGTCGAGCGTGTATGATTGAGAAGGTGTGAAAACTGGGGTGAACTCATAAGATCTGTAAGAAGAAAAAGAAAGTAAATACACTGTTCTCCCTGATCCATCACTTCATTTACAGAAACCCCAAAAATATTCTTTAATGACTTAAGTAATGTATGTTTACAAAATAGTTTATGTTAAAAATAGTACTGAACAGTGCAAAATTGATGAACAGGTCTGCAGGATAGCTCAAATAGTTAATGAAGCAGTTGAACTTGCACAATACTTTTCATTATTTTTCTATTTAATTTTAAGATAAATGTAGTATATTTTTTATTATTATAATAAAAAGTAAAGACATATTATGTAAGATTTGTACATCAAAATATCCAAAAACAAACATTATTGTATTTCTGTCTAATCCAAAATGTTTCAAAGAATGTTCAAATCACAAGAAATAAGCAATTTGACTAGTTTGCAGAGCGTGTGCTGTGTGTTAGAATAGCACACTGGGAAATTTCTCTTTTATGTATAAAGTGAGATATAAAAGATGTTGTGTTGATAAAAGTAGTTTATGGAAAATTACCAAAACCAGAATGAGGCCAGCAAACATGTTGATATTTTACATTGGATTTAGGTTTGTACAGACATGCACAGGCACACACGCACACACGTTATATTTGCATAGTTTTAAGACCACAGTAGGGTTAGCTGGTTAGTCTTTACAAAATGTGTTTGCCATGGTTGTAAGTGTTCTCACAGGATTTCTAAAAATATCTCTACATGTTTTTCTTCATTTCTTTCTTTCTTTTTTTTGTTTTGTTTACTGTTCTTTATTTATTAGGGCAAATGTAGAATATTATTACTATTTAGAAAAAAATAAATGCATAATATGTAATATTAGTTAATGAAGAT